CTCCTCCTGATTTTGCATAATTAGGATTACCAAGAGTCCCACCCTAGGAATGACTTTCACAACACCATGCTTCTGGTCCAACAGGAGAGCAACGGTAGTTCAGACGGAGGTAAAGTAGCAGAGCTGGCTCCAGAGCACTGTTTTTTGGTTTTTTTTTTTTTACATTTTATTATTATTATTATCATTTTATGATACAGTTCCATATTTTCTTATCCCCTCCCTAACTTCCTCCCCCACCGCACCTAGTTCCTCTATATCATAGTATACTAACATATAGTTCTTCATATACAGTCATATGTCCATCATTGCAGGTATGGACAATGGCAGAGAGTCCAGAATCCTATTGTCAAGATATCCTATTGTCAAGATATAGTAAACAGTTTTATTGTAAGTCCATCTTTGTCTGGAAGCAGAAATGCATACTACATTGCATCCTCACATCTGGATGGTAGTCTCCATTTCATCCCCTTAAATGAAAAGTCATGATACAAAATCAACAATAGAGGGGCCTGGCGGTATTGCCTAGCAGCTAGGGTCCTTGCCTTGAATGCCACGGGATCCCATATGAGGGCTGGTTCTAATCCCAGCAGCTCCACTTCCCATCCAGCTCCCTGCTTGTGGCCTGGGAAAGCAGTCAAGGATGGCCCAAAGCCTTGGGACCCTGCACCCGCGTGGGAGACCTGGAGGTGGTTCCTTGATCCTGGCTTCAGACCGGCATAGCATCGGCCGTTGCACTCACTTGGGGAGTGAATCATCGGACGAATATCTTCCTCTCTGTCTCTCCTCCTCTCTGTATATCTGCCTTTCCAATAAAAATAAATAAATTTTATTATTATTATTATTTTCTTTTATTGGAAAGGCAGATATACAGAGAGGAGAGACAGAGAGGAAGATCTTCCGTCCGATGATTCACTCCCCAAGTGAGCGCAACGGCCGATGCTATGCCGGTCCGAAGCCAGGAGCCTCTTCCAGGTCTCCCACGCAGGTGCAGGGTCCCAAAGCTTTGGGCCGTCCTCGACTGCTTTCCCAGGCCACAGGCAGGGAGCTGGAAGGGAAGCAGGGCTGCTGGGATTAGAACCGGCGCCCATATAGGATCCCGGACGTGCAAGGCGAGGACCTTAACCACTGCGCCACCGCGCCGGGCCCAAAAATAGATAAATTTTTAAAAAATCAACAATAGAAAAGAAATAGAAATTTACAATGCCATGAAATGACATGTTACTAGATATGACAGTCTCCATTGCACAGCTACTATACATCTCCTTAAATGAAGAGCCACAAAACAAAATCAACATCAGGAAGAAAAAAGAAATTAACAATACCAAGAAGTTAAATAACATGCTATTAAATGACTAACGTGTAGCTGAAGAAATGAATATCCAGAACCTTCTTGAAGAAAATAATGCCACTGCATGATCTACAAGTCATTGAATGATTTAATCAGAAGAAAGTGTTTTGAAGAGATGAAACCAACAAAAAACAACAAAATCCATGTGATATAATTTCCACTGATCTTTGTTGGTGAAGTGTGTCTCCTCCAGACAATAAACAGATGGGTTTTGTTTTTTGATCCAGTCTGCTAATCTATGACATTTGATTGAGCCATTTACATTCAGAGTTTAATATGTATGGGTGGTACTTTGGTCCTGTCATGTTAGGAATGGGTTGTTCATTGGTTTATTCTTCTGTTGTCATTTTACTGGGATGTTCTTCCCATTTGCCTTTGGTTTTGGTGGGTGCTATTCCTCTTCTGTCAAGAGAACATCTTGAAGTATCATTTGTAGGGCAGGTTTGAAAGAGGCAAATTCTTTTAACTTTTCTTTGCTGTGGAAGAATTTTATTTCATTTTCAAAGACAAAAGAAAGCTTTGCTGGATGTGTTATCCTGGGCCGACAATTTTTTTCTTTTAGAATCTGGAATATGTCACTCTGTTCTCTTCTTGCCTGTAGAGTTTCCTGTGAGAGATCGCCTGTGAGTTTAATTGGCATTCCTTTATATGTCAACATTTAAGGATCTTTTCCTTATGTTCAATTGAAGAGAGTTTGATAATCATATGTCTTGGTGAAGATCACTTTTGATCAAGCCTGTTAGGAGTTCTGTGCCCCTCCTGGACCTTGTTTCTGAATTCTTTCTCCAGATTAGGGATATTTTCCTTGATTATTTCATTAAATACATTTGCAAACTCAGCTTCTGTTTCTGCACCTTCTGGGATTCCCATAACTCTTATATTTGGCCTCTTAATAGTGCCTTTCAATTCTTGAATACTTTTTTTGGCCTGATCCAGCTCTCCTTCCAGCTTTTTGTTTGTTCCCCCTGATGACAGGAAATATCTTCCAATTCTGAGTTTCTTTCTTCTGCTTATTTCATTCTACTTTGGAGACTCTCCATGGTAGTTTTGATTTGCTCTACTGTGTTCTTAATTTGTGATATATCAACCTTTATGTGCTTTACTGCTTCCTTAAATTCTTTGAACTCTTGCGTGAGCTTCTCATTTTTTATCAGAAGCTTTAAAATGAGTCTTAAGGATTCTGTGTCCCCCATTTTCTCAGTGTCTTCCTCAGTTAACTCTGAGGTTGGCATAGGGTTTTGCTCCTTTGCAAGGGATTTTTCAGTAATATTCATTGTGCCTTTGTCTCTTCTTTTGCTCTTGGTCATTGTACTTCTGGTTAGCAAAGTCTTCTTCTTGGGGCAGGTCTCTAAGCTGTGTCACCCACAGGTCTACAATGCGATTTTACCTATTGCAGTTGGTACACAACTTTTTGCTTGCAGCTGCTTGTGCCACAACCTCCAGAGAGTTCCAGGTCTGGGTTCTTGTGTCAGATTTCCACCGTGGTCTCCACAGCCCCAGCTCTTGGCTCACCACTCTCCACCTCCTGTGATATTGTGCTGACCGTTGTCTCTGCAACCTTTCTCCCACTTCTTGTTGGAGCAGGTCCCAGGATTAGAGAGGCATCAGGTGTCCTTTCTAGTTAGGTTGTTCCTGGCGCTGATCTTTTCAGAACCTGTTGGACATTAGGTCTGGGTGCCACACGGACCTATTTTGACCAGTATAATGCCGCAGTTGATATTATTTTCCTACGGGACATCAGTGAGTTCTCGCGAGCTCAGCATATTCGCAGTTCTCTGTTGTCCTCTGCAGTCCCAAAGCTATTGCCACAGTGCGCAAATTGGCTGATGTACCACTACTACAGTTCTTGATCTGCTGGTCGTCAGATCCGAGGGCTACCCAGACCTGCCCTGGGTGAAACCTGTAGAATGCCACATGGATGCAGTTCACTGAGTCAGAAATGAGCTCACTGCCAGCTCAGAGCATGCTCCGTCCTTTCCCTTGCCCTTTTCTCCTTACGCAAAACGGCGCCCAATTCAGGTCTAGGGGGCTGACTAGGCTATGAAATTCACCCTGTTCTCACACTGCCCATCTGAGATTTGCTGCTCTGTCTCTGCTCCTGGTCAAATCAAACAGACCAGCAGGATGGACAGTTCTGTGTCTGGGTTCACCTCCCAGCTTCCAGTGAAAGTCCCTTCCCACCTGATTGCTGGTGGAGTTCAGATCACCGTGCTGGAGTATCAGTCACTGCAACACCACGCTGCTGTGCCTGCTGCTTTGCTGTCTGTCAGTCTCCAGGGATCCCTCTGCTGTTGTTCTGTCCTTTCCTATTTCCTAAATATGTCCTCTCTGCTTCATCCTGATTAAATGTTTTTCTGTTCGTTTAAACGTGTCCTTACCCTATTCTGCCACCTTGATTCTCCCAGAGCATTCTTAGGAATTAGTCAAGGTGGCACTGGCTGAAATATTGCCTCTTTTAATTAAAAAAGAAAAAATAGCTCTTTGATTTGCTTGTTCATTCAACATTATGTTCGGTGCTGGGCCAGGCTGAGGCCAGAAGCCAGGAACTGCATATGAGCCTCCCAAGTAAACAGTACTGGAATGACTCCAGGGAACCAAACTCTTGGGTCATTTTCTGTTGCTTTTGCTAGACTATTAGCAGAGAGATAGATCAGAAGTGGAGCACCTTGGACACTAGCTGGCACCCATGTGGGATGCCAGTGTTGAAGGCAGCAGCTTTACCTTAAGACTTGGTGCCAGCCCCATGGAACTTTTCATAAAAAAGCATTTTGCTGGATCTTGTACAATATGACAGCCTAGTAACTAAAGTCCTCACCTTGCATGCACTGGGATTCCATATGGGCACAGGATCATATCCTGGTGACCCTGCTTCCAATTCAGCTTCTTGCTTGTGGCCTGGGAAAGCAGTTAAGCAGGCTCAAAGCTTTAGGATCCTGCACCCATGTGGGAGACCTGGAAGAAGCTCCTGGCTCCTAGCTTCAGATTGGCTGAGCTCGGGTCGCTGAGGCTGCTTGGGGAGTGAATCAACAGATGGAAGATCTTCCTCTCTGTATATCTGTCTTTGCAATAAAAAGAAATAAAATCTTAAAAAAATTAGTTTTTCCCCCCACTTTTTAAAAATTGAGGATTGTATAAATACTAAACTAATAAGAAAAAATCCTTCTCACCTTGTGGAAGGAAAGTAAGAATTCAAAACTTTGTCCATTCCAGAGCTGGCACATTTCCCTTGGCTGTAGTCCTTTCTTGTAGTGATGCTTCAGGATGCACAGGAGGTGGTTTTTTCTTGGGAGGAGAGAACCTTTTGGATGGCATGGCTTTGTTTGGCATTGCTTCTCCCACTGCTCTCTTCTTCCCTCAGGATCTCTCTCTACCTTGCTTTTATGAGACCTTGTCCCTGGGCCAAGTTACCATCTGGGGTTAAATATTTGATCTAATGGCAGCAGATTCTGGATTTCCTGTTGCCCAGAGTTTAACCTAAAGTTACCCCTAGGAAGGGCAAGGCAGGTTGCTGGGTGTCAGTCAACTCTTGCAGTTTGTACTTTTTTTTTATTCTTAAAGGCACGGGATATAATAGGGTGGTGGGTTATGGTTTTGGTCTAAAGAGTTTGAATCACAACCACAAAGCGCTGAGACACAGCATAGTCCAGCATAGTCAGTTTCACTTCACTTTTATTATGAACAAACACAATGTCATATCAGTACAACTAGCTTCAGACTTGATATTAATAGAAATTATTCCAGAATTACTCTTAGGTCACAAACAATTCCTGTCCCACATAAAGGGGGGAAAAGGGGAATCCCTACCAAACTATGAAAAGGTGTTATGTACCTACTTACATGGCAATGAGGATGTGTTCTCATATTTCCTTTGACTAATTATTCACTGCTTAGCCAAGGGATTCATTCACCGTCCAGAGCTAGGGAAACTAAGCAAGCCTCTGGAACACATGTAGTAGTAAGTTCAGGGAGGACACAGCTACTGAAGAAATATTCAGGGCCAGAATTCCTCTGCCAAAGGATCCCCAAATGCTTGATAAAAAGCACTACTAGTGCCTCAAGACTGCCTTTTGAGGTAGGTCAATATTATTATCCCCATTTTAACAAAAGGAAAATTGAGGCACAAAATAGTTAAGTCACTTGACCAATACTATGGTTTGAGTGTGTCTCCCAGAGTTTGTATATTAGAAACTGTATAACCATGACAACAGTGTTGAAAGGTGAGACCATGATGAAGTCATTAGGTCAGGAGGGCTCCACCCTCTTCAATGATTAGGTCCTCATAGCAGAGGAGGTGTGTTCACTGTTACAAGTGTGGGCTATGATCAAAGGAAGGAGTCACAGAGCGAGTCAGTGGCACAGGAGTAGAAGAGGACCTGGCCTTGAACCACCAGTAAAACATTGCCATATGCTTTCTTCATTTTGCACACTAACCCATTTGAGCTCTGTTAACACAGAATTCACTCAAAAAGCTAACAAATCAAAGTGAAATTTTTCCATTTTAACTTCAACAACCACGTTTAATCTATTTTAAAAAAAGAATTAGAAAATAATACATTCAAATTATACTTCCACACTCCATCAAATATAAACACTTAATTAAACAACCCTAAAGAAAGTTTCCAAACTGAATCCCAGATGGAACCCTGAAAATCACTGCAGAGAACCAGCCAGGCCCTTTCTCTACCAGCCACACGTACAGGCCCTCAGGTGCTAAGGGGCTCCACAGAGAGATTGAGGGCAGGCTTCTAGGGAATTTGAATTAGAAAAGATGTAAGGCACCCAAATAGGCTGTCAACATATCTAAGCAAGGACAGGTCAAAAGTTACACTCTTGATCACGTCTAAGATTCTGATTCATGTTTCATGAATTGAGCTGCAGAACCTGGAAATGACATTCCTTATGCAGAGACACACCCTTTCCTGTATACCAACTTTTCTAGATGAACCTCAGCCTGGGGTCTCCATCCAGCCTTGGTGGGATGAGATCCAAACTGCATGCTTACAATGTAACAGAGTGTTGTTCCTTCTCATCTGTATATTATAAAGGAGTCATCTGATGACCTGGGAAAGTATTTACTTCACAACTTTTCCAAAGGGGTAGGCAATGGGTCAGCAAGTAAAAGGACAGTGATTTCCATTGGATTTTCCTCTGCTGAGATGAACATCTCAAAAACCAGGACGCCTTTGCAGGTTAATCCTGGAAAAACACTATTAGGTTACAGACACTTTTCCTACACCACCCAGGGTCACAACAATGGACACAGCATGTGACATTGTACACTTCCAATCTTAATAGAACAAAGCTAGGCTTCGCATTGATGACTGGGGCACAGGGACACAAGCCCAAGATTTCAAAAACACTGAGGTTCTGTGTTCTCCAGGCTTCTTCTATGCTATTGTCTGTCCTTGGCTGTGTGGAGGCAGAATGCTGGGTAGTTGCAGAACGGGAAGTCTGTTCAGCAAGGAGCATGGCATCTCTGCTCCCACGTTCCGCCAAAGCTCTGCAGCACAGCCTGCTCCAGATTCAGGGCCCCTTTCAAAGTGAGGCACTCAGGACCTGGGCCTTGCCTCGTGTGCATCCCACTGAGGACAAGGTATCCCCCTTCCTGCAGTGTCCCACCGTCAGCTGGGAGCCCGGATCAGCTAGGACCACCTGATTGAGCAAGCAGGGCACTTGGTGTGCTCTCTGCTCTGTCCCAGACACAGGAGGCTGACACAAACCCACGTTGGCCCCAGCGAGGGCTCAGAGTGGTACAATGGGAGCGTTTGTGTCAGAGAGAGGACCTCCAGGAGGCAGGAGGCTGTGCCAGCTGTGTCTGGAGGCATCAGTGTGACCGAGGGGCACGGGAATGTGGAGCAGCTCTCCTCGTGGAAGGGAAGCAGAGGTCAGGGGCCCCTGAGCATTGTCTGCAGGAGGAGCTGCCTGGACAGCAGGTTGTCACTGTCTCTGAACACATGCATGGAGGCTGCCTTGCCAGAGCCAGCATGAGGGAAGGGCCAGAATTGGTAGGAGAGAAGGATCAGAGAAGGCAGAGGCCAGAATGAAGAGTCAGGCTCCTTAGTACATTCCTCCCTCGCAGGGAGTCCTGTACTTGAAGCTGCATGTCAACAGAGTGTAGAGTAAGTCAATGGATACAACATGGTGAAGAGAAGCCTTGTAGCTTGTCTTACTTGTCCATTCATTAGTACCAGTTTTTCACTAACACTGAACTTGTTTCATTAGGACACCTGATAGCTTACTCAGCACCTTTCTGATCTCTTGGCAGTGTGGACTTCCAGCTCCTCCTTTGAAAGTCATCATCCAGGAGCTGCCTATAGACCCTGCCCCTCCATCTCCTGCCCAGGAGTAGGACAGGTACTGAGGCAAAGATGACCCACCTAATTCCTGTCTCCTTCAGGGTTCTGTGAACACAGAACAGGTTCCCTGTGAACACAGGGAAGTATCCCAGTGGAAAGAATTCTCATACACCAAGCAAAGGATTTAGGTTTCCATATTTTTATGTTTGACAAACTCCAGCTCCTAATAGCCTTCCATTTTGGGGTGCCTGGAAATGCCACTGCCACCTTATTACTCTGAGGGGTGGAGAGTGACCAGTGTCCTGAAGATAACAGAGCAGAAACCCCAGAGAACTTGGATGAGAGCTCAGGGAATGCTCAGCACTCTGGGAGCTGTTGTGTTCACCTGTTACAGACACGTCAAGCCAGCACACTGCTTGTTCCGTGAAACAAGAACTCTCCTTGTGATTAAAGATAAGAAGTTCCCTCCCCAGCCATGAGCATTTGTACTGCAGCCTAAATGCTGCTGCCCTAACCTCTGTCCAGAGCCTGCTGAGGCACTGAGATTTGCTGTTGTGTGTTGCCTGTCCAAGCTCCAGGCCAGTCCTCCTCACAGTCAGGAGAGAAAGGAAGCATTCCATGTGGAGGGGCTGCACGTCCTGGCTAGGCAGGCAGCTGTGTGCCTCCTCACAGCGAGACTGTCTTCTACTCAAATCCCACCTCAACCCCTCCCTCACTTACCAGTCATGCCTGGCAGCGAGCCTCTCTCCTGACAGCTTGCCTTCCAGAGAAGCTTTGTACCCAATAAAGTTAGCTGTCCATTCCATCTAGCAAAGCCTGTTTAAATATAGTGAACATGGCCTTCCCCAAGAGTTTCCTGGTGTCTCCACCTTGAGCCAACCACACAGAAACGGAGAAGGCTTAAGAAAGAGAGTTTTCTTGAATAAGACCATTAGTTTTAGACTCTTTAAAACTTGTACAGGCTTTGAAAGATGCACAGTACCAATGACTGACGAGTTGCTTTCCTGGAAGCACTGAGGAAGAAGAGAAAGGAAAGTAATAGTAATCAAAAAAACAAAAGGAAAGAAAAATGAAGAAAATGAAAATATCAGCTTAGCATCAAAATGGCACAGTTGTCCTTCAATACTTTTGCATTTTTAAAGAATACTGTATTGGAATGGGTTAAAGTCATCATCTTTAGTGTCCTTGGAGCATTATTCAGTAGTTAATAAACAGAACAGTGAACCTCTGCATGGCTGGCCTTTGGAAAAGAAGATGATAACTCAAAACTCAGCCACTCTTGTGACTTCCATCTCCAGTCCTCTTAATCCTGGCCAAGACTGCAGCCTTGGATACTTTCTTCCGATCATAAGCCAGGCCCAGGGCAGCCATGCAGTCAATGAAGAATGTGGTGAAGTTGAGGTGCCAGCGGTACTCGCTGGTGGAGTAGTCATAGGGAAAGGAGTGGTGGTAGTTGTGGAAGCCCTCACCTGCAAGGAAAGCAAAGAGAGCCGTCATGGAGCTTTGCTGATTGCCATCTTCCCTTCACTGAGCACCAGCTTCCTAGCAGAGTAGCTGAACCCAGGAGAAATCAGCTGTTGTGGAGTGGCGGGATGGAGGGAGGGATGGAACCAATCTGTTGTATTCTATTGCACACAGATCACACCTGGAGGACATTAAGAAATGATTGATGAGGCCCCTGTCACACCTGCTTGCTTTCTCTCAGGGTATGCATGAGTTGAGTAGAAGAGGTCCGAGTGTTGAGAATGTAGTATAGACTGGAGACTCCCAGAGTTTCAGGAAACATGACCTAAAACCCTAAAGGTTCTGTGTGTATGTGCATGCATGCACACTGGGGTGAAAGGGGAGAGCCCAGACCCTAAAGGGTTGTGTGTATGTGTGTGTTCAGAGGTAAAGAGGAGATCCCAGAATAAAGAACTTGGGCTGTGCCGTTTACACAGTGAGCAAAGGAGCATGCTCTCTGCACTGCAGCAGAAGACTTTGAGGGTGGCAGGTTCCAGTGGAATGGGAGGAGGCATCCAACAGTCAGAAGAAAACGGGCCCAACTCAAGTGCTACAAATTCCTCAGTCTCTGATGGTCCAGAGCAGGCCTCTCTGCCTTCTCATTCTCTGAGCTTTGACCTTGGGCTGCGGATAGCGCTGATAAGAGAGATTCTTTGAGGAAAGAAGAAACAAATTGCTTAAATATTCCCTCTAACCTCAGAGATGCTGAGAAGTCATAGAATAAACATTTCACATGGATCGCCAGAGAGAAATAGAACATTCTGTACTGAGAATAACTCTGCAGCAGTCAAAGGGAGGTTGCCAACTCTTGCCTGGACCCCTCTTTTCTAGCTGCAAGCAGCACTGACACACTGACCCTTGTCAGGTCAGGGTGAAGGCATGCCGACAAAGAGGCCTTTGGGTCTTCTGTGGGAAACCTACTCCCACAGGTAGGGATAGGGAAGGGATGACACTAGCAACAAGCAAGGCCATGTATCCTTCAGAGAGAGTGACCCCAGGTAGCTCATCTCCAGGTGGGTGCCTCCTCTGTGAGGCCTGATCACCCACAGTGTGAGCTGAGAAGGAGGTGGGTAAGTCCAAGGTTCAGGTACTGACAGAGGGCTGCTGAGCTCTCAAATGAGTTATAGTGATTCTCTGGGTGAGCACTCGTCTGCTCACAGACACCAGCCTTAACATAGAGTCAGAGTGTACAGTAGAGAAGAATCTTTGCAAAGGGGCAATGAGAGACAGCCCAAGGTAAGCTCAGTTTGAAGGTCAGCTGTAGGAGATATGGATATGCTTATGGGAGATATGCCTTTTGGAGAGGTGTATCAAGAGGTAAAAAAAAATTAGAAAAGCAATACATAAAAATTTGGGGAAGAAAGCAGGTGTAGAAATGGAATATAACAAAGGAACTTGAACTGGTGGCACAAGGAAGTGACTCTCATAGGTCTATTTGTAATACAGGACATATCCCTGTGAAAGAAATTCCATTCTGTGAAAGATTCAGATATATATATAACATAACTGATTTATCTCAAACAGGAATCCAGTAAGAATGTGTACAATGTAAAAAGGTAACTGAAAGGAATAATTCCATAATTTATGAAAGCCAAAAAGTGATTGCAAAATGCTTTTTATAAAGATAATAAATACTGGCAGTGTTTAGTTTATAAAAGAATACTTTTAAAGAACAAGAAATATTAGTACAGCATTATGTAAGAACAGATAAGCAGTGTGGTTGCCTAGGTGTCAGTGTCACCTGCAAAGGAACGCAGCTCTGGTTCTGATTACTGAAAGCTAATCTGAAGCCTTGGTTAGCAATGTGCAATTTCTTGGAAAGCAATATAGAAAATTGAGAGACAGGTACAGAACCCTGTCTTTTTTTGATTTCGGGACTAGAATGATAGAAAGAAATTTAGGAAGAGTCAATATAAGATCAGTTGGTTAGAAGCTGTGATCAAACTAATTTGTGGATATTCCCTAAGTGACTCTAGGAAAGTGAAATTCCAGCTCAGGATAGAAGTGAACAAGAAACAAGGGCATGTGGTACAGGGTAGGAGGAAAGGGCCATGGAATTGCTCTACTGCTCTTCATATTTGGAATACCCAAGTACTTAGTTTAACTAAATTGTCATTATTTATTATAACTTTTATGTAGCATGTTTTCATAGATGTTCCCTGTTTCACTGGCCACTCTGATGCCCCAGTTGCTCATTTATGCAGCCCATTCCTGTGTAAGATTCCCATCAGCCAGTATGTGTAAACACGGGAAGCTTCCTATTCTTAGCATCTGGAGGTTGTCAGAGAACTTGAGATCAAAGGCAGTGTATTTTTTTTCCCTTTTCCTTTTACCTGAGACTTATTGCTTGATGCTCATAATGGTCTTCAGTTTTATATATAGCTTTACTATAAAACCAGTAGTTTTGTAATAGATAAACTGAGATATAAAATGGCTATAAAGCTGAGGTAACATGGTTAAGCTGGTTCCTGGCCCAATACCCTATCCAGCAGACTACTAGATATGGCCTGTTATGGATAGATGACTTACCCACAGCTCCCAGAGAAACCAGGATATTCTCTCGAGAGTTAATGTTCTTGTCATATGGGCGATATCCATACATGTGAGCAGCACTGTTCACCAGCCAGGTGGCATTGAGCACTACAGCATAACGCAGGAAAGTGGTCACATACAAGCTGTGTCGAAAAGTTTCACCCCAGAAGTACCAGGGCACGAACGTGGGCAGGATGAAGCACATCAGCAGGACAGCAGGTTTGTAGTACCTGGGTAGAGAGATCGCAGGCTGAGCTGGGACCTGGGATCAAGACCTGCCCCTTACCGTCCCTCTCACAGGGCTGGGCTGTCTCTTTCTTCCTCCTTGTGAGCACATAGGTGGGATCAGTTGAGCATGCCAAGACTGGCCCTCTCTGTGCAGATGGGGTGAAGAGGAGGGTGACGGACTTCTTTGGGATCCTAATATGGAAACCAGCCCATCATGACTAGGATGCTGGGCCCCTAGCTCTTTCCACTGTGCATGATTTCCTGGTGGTGAAGTGACAGGTAAGGTCCCTGCCCCTGGAGCTGCAGAGTCCTGCTCTCTGGGCCCATGTCCATCTGCCTTTGGGCTCCCTCCTCTTCCCCATCGCATTTTGGGCACAAAGTCCACGGGTAGTGTTCTGCCTCCATTTCCTGTGATTCCTTTGTTGTCTTCTTTCTCAGAGTGGCTCTGAGTGGCCTTGGTCACCTGTGGGGCTTTGTCCCACCCTCTGTGGGAAGGATTCCCATCCTCCAGCTGCCATGTCCTCAACTGTGGAACAATGATGTACCCCTGTGATTCTGCCCTTCCTACTCCTCCCCTGGCCCGTAACTGTTGCCTATGGCCCATGTCCTGAAAGCAGGCCTTGCTCTTGTACCCCACTTATTCTTAAAGGTCCGTTTATTTACTTGAAAGGCAGAGTTACAGATTGAGGGAGAGACAGAGATCTTCCATTTGCTGAGTCACTCCCCAATGAATACCATGGCCAGGGTTATCCCAGGCTAAAACCAGGAGCTTCAAGCTCCATCTAGGTCTGCTACATGGGTGGCAGGAGCCCAAGCACTTAGATCATCTCCCACTGCTTTCCCAGACTCGTTAGTAGGGAAGTAGAGGAGCAGCTAGGTTCTGAACCAGTGCTTATATAGGATGCCAGTATTGCGGGCAGTAGGCCCACTGTGCCACAGTGCTCTCCCCATGAGTCTCCCTCCTGAAGCACACCTCTGACTGCCACATTGTGTGCAGGCGCCCTCTGAGTCAAGCCTGCCTTTAGGATAAGAATGACAATCAATCAATCAATCAATCAATCAGTAGAGCTGCCAGAGTATGAACTGGTGCATATATAGGATCCCAGCATGTGCAAGGCAAGGACTTTAGCTGTGAGGCTATCACACTGGGCCCCTTCCCTGGAGTTCTTAACCAACAGTCTTATTCTTTTCTTTACCTTTCATGGTATAGAAAATATTCTGTCTTGCCCCATACCTATTGGGTACTTGGCATATTATTTTACTACCCAGTAAGCTATAGACTCCTTGAAAGTGAGTACTCAGATACTCTCATTTTGCTCTTTACTGTATGTTAGATTTAAATTAGAATTTTTATTTTACATTTTTGTGTGCAAGTCAGCAATCACTTGATGCTTTAATTAGCTTAATTAAAACAGCTCAGAAAGGAAGAAACCAAGCAACAGTCTATGGCTGCAGGCCTGTCTGATGTTCACATTTGAATTTTGGTGTAGCCCTGTGGTACAGCAGTTTAAAGTACTTGTTGAGATGGCCACATTCCATACAGGAGTATCTATTCAAGCCAGGGCTACATTGCTTCTGATTCTCCTCTCTGCTTAAGCAACTGGGAAGCATATATGATTGCTTGAATACTTGGGCTCCTGCTAATCTCATGGGAGATATGAATGGGCTCTCTAGCTCCTGGCTTTGGCCTGACACAATTTAGTCCCAGCTGCTGTGCTAATTTGGGGAGTGAACCAGAGAATATCTTTCTCTCCATCACTGTCTTGCTCTGTCACTTTGCCTTTCAAATAAAGGAATCAAAGCAAGAGTGAAAACTCAAACCCACTGTAAGAATAGTTTTCCCACAGAAAATAAAATCGGGTTTGCAATGATGGTTTGCACCAGCAAACACAGTCATTCAACATGAACTTGACAAACCCTTGGAGGAAAAGTGGGGTCTGCCACAGGTGCAGGAGCACTCCTGGCTGCATGGTTCCTCACTCACCTTCTCTGGAACATCAACAGTTTCTCAGCTTTGAGGTCAGACAGGTCCAGCAGCCCACCCTTCTCCTTGACGGCCGGGTGTTTGCGCACCAGCAGCCAGCCCACATGAGAGAAGAAGAAGCCACGTCTGGAGTTATGGGGATCAGCATCAGTTTCTGAGAACTTGTGGTGGGCACGGTGGTCTCGGGCCCATTCAAACACATCATTCTGCAGGGACAGAGAAAGTGTGGGGGGTTGCTGAAGAGAGATGTTCTCTGAGGAGAACCCTCAGCCCTGGGGAATCTTGGAGGTGCTGCCCCCCGCCCCCCGCCATACACTACCGCTGAGGTTCTGTGCCCACAAAAGTCCCTGGGGCTGTGCCTGCCTCCTCATGGGGTCCCGTGGTGGGCAGGGCTTGGAAGGGAAGGGCCCTGAGTACAGGTGGCTTGAGTGCTACACTTCCTCATGCAAAGGAGACTGGGCAAGGACCAATCTCACTGTTCCCTTTTTTAAAAACAAAACACCTGAAGGCCTTCAAGGTAAATCTGCCTTTAACAGGGATAGTTAGGCAAATGTGTTAGGTACCTGAGATACTGCCGTTGAAAAAGGGGACTTTTCTACTTCTGATTCTAAGATTAGCGCCACAGGAGTTTCTATTTGAGTACCCCCTTTTCAGTCCCTTCATGCTTACATTATAAATCTAGCACTTCTACAAAACTCAGTATTTGACTTACCTAACATACAGTCCAGGGCGGGAACACAATGGGGTTCTTTCTAACCTATGACCTATTTTCTTCACCTGTAATGTAGGAATAGTAATAGTTCCTACCTCCTTAGATTGTTGCGAGGATTTAGTAAGTAAATTAGTGTTTCATGCTCTGTATAGTAAGAGATACACATGCCATTTTATAAAAGCATTTGTTTTTACTATCTGAAAACCATACCGTTCATGTGTCTGTGGAACATCAGTGTCAATTTTTCAGGTGGTGGGTAGGAGTTTAAGATAGTCATGTTAAACAGTGACTTGATCTCCAACATCCCAGGAAACTGGGATCAGACACAGGTTCCTGTGCCTTGGCCCACTATGTTAAAGATTAAAACAGCCAGTCCGAGACAGCCCTGCACATTAAGGGTGTGTCTTGCTGAGCTTCCTCTTCCCCTTCCGTGACTCAGAGTGTCCGCCTGCTTTGCAGACTTCACAGCTGAGCCCGCATTTGCAGTGAGAGAGAGGAGAGTGCCACAGCTGTCAGAGTGGCTCCTCTGCTGGCGCTGCTCCCCTCAGTTCCACTCCCAGACCATTGCTATGGTGTGTGGAGAAGCAAGAGCTGAGCCCTGCCAGTTCCTTACCTGGAAGGCCATGGTGTTGGCAACGATTAGGAAGAGTCTCAGGGGCAGCCGGGCTTTGTAAGTCCTGTGGCTCCACAGACGGTGTGCTCCTGCTGTGATGCCCAGGGCACTGACTAAGTAATAGAATATCCCTGCCAGGAAAAGACAGTGGGTGTCACCAACTGATGCCAGCCCTACCTGGGAAAGCCAAGAATATTGTCCTGATGCCACAGTCTGTCTGATTGAAATTGCAAGTGAAGATGTATTATACCCAAACCCTGAGAATGCCTTGATCTCTGAAATGACTTGGATTTTTACTTTTTGAAAGTATCATCATCTCCTACCTGTTAAAGCAGAACTAGACACAAGCTGAGTAGTCCCAGGAACTGAGGAGTCCTCTAGGATAGCGAATCATTTATTATTATTAATCAAACCACTAATCATTTGACATGGTTAAATCTGCATGTGTATATCATTCCAGGTCCCCTTGACTTTGACCTTCAGCTAACATGTGGTGCTCAAGCCAAAAACTGCTCCTGCCAATCTGAGTAGTCATAAAACAATAGTATTTTAAGAGCCAGAGCAACATGGGCACTGAAAAATGAGAGGATCTCTTGGTGGTTTGAGGCAGGCTAAATGCTCAGAACTATAGCCAATCACCAGGTAGTATAAAGTCATTTCAACTTTTGTGGCCCTATCAGGAAAAATCTGCCCCATTCTTAAGTCATGTTTGCCCGGTATCTTCCATTTTACCCAGAGATCTCAAATTTTTAAATTCCTGGCATCTTTGTATGGAGTGGTGGTACAAATGCCTAAGCAAGTACAACTGAAGCGCAACAAGGTTAGTTAAGTGCTTAGCTAGGTCACCTGACTAGGAACTCTGGAGGCCTGGTTTCACACCACCATGGTTCTCAGCAAGTTGTTTGTGTCCAGCTGACCATGAACCACCCCAGGATATGTGCACATTTCCCAGGTCTCTGTTTCATCAGGTCCCTTGGTAATCTCAAACTCACACTGAGTAATGTTAATTCCACAAGATAATGGGATACACTCCATTATCTAAGCAGACCACCCCAGCATTATCCCCCTTAATTTCCTTCAGGCATAGAGACTGAAACAGTGCGAAATGTAATTTCTAACTGGGAAGTGGGTTGCTGGGTGTATCTGTTCAGCAACTCTAGGAGGAAGAGGCTGAGTCTTGGAGAAACTATTAACTATGTTTCATCCCTAGGGAACAACCAGAAACAATGGATCCTCAGTGGTTACAGAACTGGATACAGTTAGAGACACCATACACTGCAACACTCTGTAACTTATTGTCCTGTGTGCTACTGCCTCCAGACAGCTGGGAATTAGGATTGCAGGGGCCTCCATGGCCTCTAGCCCTGTACTGATTGCTATCTTCCCAGGTACAGAAACTGACCCCACCTGTCCCTGGAAAAACCACAGTGAAGCCAAAGCTGCCAATCACCAAGGAAGAAAATGGCTTTGAGCATGAAAGCAAGATGGATTCAGAAATCAAGGAAACTTCTAAGGTTGCTTCATGTTGCAGATGATTTTGGCCGATGGGCTGAGAAAGCATTTAATGTCCTATTTTAACAAGGAATTGGGAAAAGAGCCCAGGGACTCTGCTGTGCTTTCTATCAACACCTCTAAATCTAACAAAGACAATGGCGTAAGACAGTTGAAAATGCATTCCCTCTCTGTTCCACAGAGCAGGCTCATTAATGACCATGTTGATGGTTGAGCAACATCTCATAGCTTTTGGTCCATAAATCCTTATTGTTTCCCTATGTATTTCATCAACCCTATCCTAAGGGATCATTTGAGAGGCTCCAAAATGAAAGAAATAGGAGGGACTGAAAATTCTTCACTCTTGAGAGGGTGCTGTGGTGAAACCCAGGTCACCTGAGGAATGTGAACTTCTTAGTTATACTCAGATGCTGTTGCCCCAGCTGGTATCAGAAGCGCCGTAAACCTTACAAAGATCACTGCTTATGCACCATGCTGCATGGGAGACTGCCAGGACAAAGGCCTAGGCACTCTGTCTCCCCACCAATAGCAGACCTAAGTGGTCCTGCTTGCCTTTCCACCTCGCAACACCACCTCTCCCACTCAAGATAAACTATCACAAAACACCCTCACCCAAGAATGCTTTGGAAAACCTGAAGTTGTTTTCTGCTGAGGATTTCTTGGTTTAATACCCCTCAGTCAGCGGCAAGTAGGGCAATGGGGTCTGTGTCTATAGAGTTCCCCTCTCTGACTTCTTGCTCCAGGCTTGGGGATGGCGAGTCAGAGGAGACATTGTCTGCAAAGAATGTCTATGCTTCCAGGCCACAGGGGCTACAAGGAGCCCCTACAGGGCCATCCCTGACAGAGCAGAATGAAGGGCAAGTCAAGGACAGACTGCCCTCTGGCTGTGTTGTGATGGCTGACTCAAGAACAGGACTGTCCAGGGCTCTCTGTTCGGACCTGCCCAACTTTGGCAAGGGGAACAAGTAGGGTGGACTCAGGGAAGAAAGTTCTGGGGCTCAGGTACTTCACGGCAACAGGACAGAGCCAGTAGTGTGGGCTCATGAAACCAGGACCAGAACATGAAGCAGGCTCTTCATTTCAGTCCCAACATTTTGTGGACTAGTGCATCTAGCACCCAAAACACTGACATGGAGCAGTAGAGTACACATCTGTGTACCTTGCCTTGTGTAGGAGCCTGCTCCATTCTTTCTCTATACCAAAGGAGTGGTCTGGCCAAGGAAGAAGATTCAAAGAAGAGTTCCCTGGATAGCCGCCTTTGCCTTCCTGCTTCCAGCAAGCTCTCTCCCCCAACAGAGGCCCTCTGCTCGATCCCTTGAGTGCATGAGTGGGCCCATCGTCCACCATAAAGCTGTGGGTGTGTTCCAGGCTCCCCTGCCTCTCAGCTCAGGGGCTGGTCTTGTTTCTGGCAGGGCTGGGACAGGAGCCAAGCAAATGACTCAAACATCAAAGTTCTCAGGGATGGCTGACTCTGGCACAGGTCACTTCAGTTACATGGCACATGGCCTCAGAGCTTCCTCCTGAAGACCCTTGCTAAAGGGCCCCCAGGATTCACTTTCCAGCAGTATCCAAGCCCCGTAGACCACTTTCCCAATCCAATGCAGAAATGCCTGGCAAAGCCAGGGTTGGGAGGACCCGGGGCTCTGTGGGAGATCCTGCCTCCCTCCAGAGCAGGGAGAAGCCCTGGGCTTGCTCAGCAGGGTGGGAAGCCACTTACCCCAGAGCCAGGTGTGGAACTTGCAACTGGGCACCAAGGTGATCCCATACAGGGCTCCGATGTGTAGCAGAGCCATGAGGATGATGTTTCTCCAGACATACTGGAGCTTGGGCCTGGGGCCCTCCTCGTCCTGGTAGCTGGGGTCATAGATGTCGTCTTTGAACTCAGGACGGATGTCTTCTTCAGCGGGCAGGGGGTTCTTCCCCAGCTTGTCCTCTCCACCCTGTGGGAGCCTGGAGTGTGGTGTGGTGACAGTAGCAGTTGTGGTTGTGTAGGAGCTGGAGACCTGTATGAGAGGGAAGAGGAGGTCAGGAAAGAGGAGGCAGAGAAGACAGAGGCAGCCACTTGACTTTCTGATCCTGCAAGGGTGAAGGGAGCCGGGCAGGCTCAGACCCTGGCTCATCACTAGGGGCGTCGGAGGATAGAGTGTGCCATGTGCTGGAGGCTGAGGTTCCCAGGAACTGTGAAGAAAGGCAAGGATGAAACTTGTAGGTGGAGGGCCTTAGGTGTGGGGTATAAAACACTGGCACCCCTTTGAATACAAAGAAAAGCTCACATTTACATAATGCTTCTCCTAAGACCGGGTTTTCCTTTAGTCATAAAAAAATGTTGAGGAATCCATTTCCCAAAGTTAAAACTCAAATCCCAAACTGATGCTGGTGCACCTTAGGGTAGATGGCCAAGTTCTCTTGGTAGCTCTCAACCATATCCCCTCAACCCCAAGTTACCCAGAAGGCCCACCCAGATCAGCAACCACCAAATTGGGAGCAGATGCTGGGAAGCTCACCTCCTGCAGCAAGTGTGCGGGCATCGTTGTTCACGGTCCTCGGATCTCTCTCCGGAGACTAAGACTGCCGATCGAGATATTGAGTCGCAGATCGGTCGAGTTCCCGAGTTCGCCGGAGTGCGGCGCTGAGAAGCCTTTCCGGAGCACGGTAGCGGGACAGTGCCTGGGGCCGGAGCCCGCTGTGAGCGGATGTCCCCTGGGCGGGGGATTGAAAGGTTAGAGCCGGGGGTAGGTGAGCGTAGACTCAGACAGCTTTTATCCTCTGCCTCAGGAAGTAGCGCGCGCGGACCTGCCTGAAAGAGGCAGCATCGGATGGTGAAGAGGGCTGGAAAAAGGCAGAAAAGCAAGGAAGGCAACGAGTAGGGTTGCCGCAGCGCCGGGATGCTGCAGAGACCAACGCGCGCCGCCCCTGCCCAGCCGCTGCCCGGGGGAAATGCTAATGAGGCTCCCGTAAACTCTTGTGCGTCATTGGCCAAAGGGAATTTGGTGCCACCTCAGCTGCTGTTGCCATTGGCTCGGCACAATCTGCTGTTCCCTCCAGCCGGATCTTCGCTCCCCCTCCCCCCACTCTTTCTCTTCCACCAACCACTGGGCCTGTTCTGGCATCGGAGGCCTCCTAGGCAATAGGGGCTTTCTTTCTGCAAGACCAAGAAAACCTGTAATAGGAATGACTCCAGGGTGTGCTGCCAGTAGGTGGGTGCTGGGCGGGGAGCGGCTTGCACAGGACATACCCAGGATAATGGCTCCTGTGGCTCAATCCTCGGGTCTCCGTGGAACAATGGCTCTGCCACTGGAACTCCAGAGCCCTCTGAGCCCAAGCATGTCTCCGTGCCCTGCACCTATGCCTTTCAGGCTCCTGGCAGTGACATCCACTGCTGGGCATGGTGAGCAGTCGCAACCCGAAACCACACTACAGCTGTGGGGGAGGTGTTGGATCACTGAATGTTAAGCCTTAAGGGTTTCATGTAATGTTGGACTCCTCTAACTGAGAAGCAGCAGCAGGGGAGGGGATTGGGTGGAGAATGAGAAGAAATTTTGCATCTTGAGTGACCACTGTCAGTTTAGTCATTTTGGTGCATCCTGCAGTGACCTGTGAAGTGGGCACTTCATAACCCACTGGAAAGAGAAGTTGACACATACCATAACTTTCCCATGATCACAACAGCAAGGAAGAGGTAGAGCTCAGCTGAGCTCAAAAATGCTAAGCCAGAATCTGTATCTTAACACTGCCCAGTACCATAGGATCCCCTATATTCTCTGTGCCCTGGAAACTTCATGTGTATAGCTGGGAGGGCATGCTTTCAGGCAGTCTTGTTCCGTGCCCAGTGTGCCTGACACTGTCCAAGATCCTTCTGCCGGAAGAGAATAAGGCCAGGAGTCCTGTGCTGAGGATTGGCTCCAAAGAGGGGAGGCCCCTGAGCTTGCCTGGAGGAGGACAAGGCAGCTCCCCTTAGGCCCTGTGTGGTCCCTGTGCCATGCAAAGGAGCTGAGTGAGAGCAGGTGCTCTTGGAGGGCACAGTGGGTCTGATTGTGGTTGGGGAGAGTTCTGCATGGGCAAGGAGTCCTTGCTGTGCTTCTGCTCCTCAGGGTTTCTGCAGGGAGGCATGTGCCAGCCCCTTTCCAAACAGCAGGCGTCACTCAGTGGGTCAGTCTGTTTCATCTGCTCCCACAGAGCAAACTGCTGAGGGTGGAACAGTTTCCATAACAGCAAATATTACTCACAGTTCTGGATACTGGCAAGTCCTAGGTCAAACACCAGCAGGTGGGGTGTCTGGTGCAGGCCCCTTTCCTGCTGTGTGGATGGCCATCTTTCACTGTATGTTCCTGTGGGGGAGGGGTCTGAGATATTTTGGGGGATTCTTTTCCAGAGTCAGTGATGTCATTCATGAGGTCCCTGCATTTGTGACCCAAACACCTAAGCACCAACCTGCGAGTAGATACCAAATGCCATCCCAAGAGGCTATACTTTCCAGTGAATGTAAGGGGAGAGGATACATATTCATTCTACTGCATTCATGAGGGAAGAGAGCTCAGGATTTCTTCTGGGGCCTACCTCCACTGTGGCTCGAGATGGCCATGCTGTGGACACCAGCTGTGCTTAGATTGTAACTGCCCAGGCAACTCACCTGGTGTCTCCCAGTGCTGTGCCCATCGGGAACCATCTGAATGCCAGGATTCCCTGGACACTGCTCTCCTGTGTCCTTAGATCCTGGTGGACACCACTGCTGCTGTGCTTACTTTGGGCTGGTGGCATTGCTTAGGCATCGTCTTCTGCCAGAGAAAGCAAGGGGGGTATGCCCAGGCCAAACGTGGGTTGGAGACATAGTCTTCCTCCCTAATGACAGACTGCTGCCCTGAGGAAGTCCAGAGAAGGTCTGGATGAGGGACAGGACAGCACTCCTTTTGGGGTCTGGAACCAGGCAAAGTAGTAAGTGGTTCTTGCATGTGTGTTCAGGGCTGTGATGTGTCACCCAGTAGTCAGACTCCTTGGAGGTGGTGACTATCTACAAAGAGAGACCATTTGTGGGAAATAATGGTATAGGGGAAGCATGAGCCTTGGTATTCCATCAGGAAGTAATTGGAATTTATAAACAAGGATATGTTCAGTATTTGTGTATAATGGGATTAGTAATAACCTAGCTCTAATAAATATTTTAGCATAAATGAGGAAAGTAGAAAGTATGCTTAAGAGATACACAATGGAAATACAAACAGTTCTTTCTGGAAAGGAACCCAAGATTTCCTTGTACTTGTAAAATTTCATTTTGAGTGTTCCCATGAGGTAGCAAGGAAAACAGGTCCCATTGAGCCCCCTAAGCTGAAGAGTATGTGAAGAGTCAGATGTTTATATTGCCCTTTGGCTACAATCCATGCTTCTTTTCGTTGCTGCAAGGCCCTCTAAGAGCAGACCCCTCCTCACTGTATGCCTGCTGCTGCTTGCTTCATCTCTGGCCACTCCACCCCTTCTCCCTGTGGTCTCTTCCCCTATGGTACTTCTGGAGCCTGGGTACATTCCTTTCTTCTGTGTGGAGCACTCTCCTGCCCATCCCCCTTCTCACACAGGCCTCTCACTGAGTGAATTCCTGTCTGCTTCAGTTCTTCAGTAACTGTAGCAGCCTGGCTGCTATTGGATCCATTCTCCCAGTGGCTGCTGGTTTTGTGACTTTCATCGTGTTCTGCTGGGATGCCCTCTGGGGATAGGGACAGTGTCTGGCTCACCTCCATCTCCCAGCACTACCTGGCTGCAGATGAGCTTTAATAGCATTCCACATGTTGTGTAATTCACAAGCAGGACATTTTTGAAGATCTCTCCTTTTCTAGGCTGTGGTGTAATACAGCCGTTCCTTTAGTGTCCCCAACCCTCTCCCCATGATGCAGTCAGTGCAGTCTGTGCCTTGCTCATCGTTCCTGTGCAGAAGCAGGAGCCCCTGACCCTGTCTGTGCTGACTGTCGCCACTCGCTTGGGAACTAAGGTAGATGCTGTGAGTGTTCCTGCTCTTCCAGAACGTGCAGTCCCTTTGTGGGGAACATCTGGGAATGCTGTGCCATCTGCCTGTGCTCCACAGACCTTTCCACTCTGAAAGATAAAGCTGGAGCCCTTGTAGAGGCTCCTCGGGCCAAGGAAGAAGCTGGTCTGAGAGTGAGCCCCATTGCTATTGCTGTCTGCCTGAAGTGGAAAAACCAGCCCAAAAGCCACACTACCCCACATGGGATTCAGCTGAAGTCTGATAACTTCGTATCTTGTCCTCTGTACTTCCCCACCAGAAGCCGACTGCAGGTGTACTGGGTCGTTGTGTCAGAGGCCAAATGTGAAGCACAGGCAAGCTTCCAATGGCACAGACATACTATCATGGTTTTACATACGTCTTGATCGTATGAACTTAATTTTCTGTTGTGCATTTTTATTGCCATTGCCTTCTAGGAAATTGGTTTTATTTGATGTATCCATATTCTTTCTTTCTCAATAAAGGTAGATCTCCATTTTAAAAAGCGGGAGAGCTTTAGTGAAAGAGAGTATGTTTGGATGGATGAGGCAACCTCTTCTGTGGTGTTAGACCAGTGCTGTGAGTAAAGCGGTCATTGCTGAAGCCTGGTGTTCTCAGAGTTAGCTAGTGGACCTAGGTAGAGTCTAGATGTATGAGCTGTGTGAGAATTCTTAGTCCAAATCTAGTCTTCCAGGTTGTGAAAGCAAGTATGTCAAGGTGAACACTGAGACTATACCTTTTTCCTATTTTATTTGACAATTGCTTTATTTGCTAATTTTAACTACTTAAACTCATGGAAGTTGGCTGACATGTTCTCAGCTCAAAAGATTGTATGTCTTGGATGCATCCTTTGGAAATCCTCTTGTTTGTCTTTGTTTTGTGCCTTAACATCCTGAAGGTATACATTAAGTGTCATTTAGGAAAGCCCTATGGCCTTGTTTTTTCTCTTTTATAACAGTGTTAGTGGCTGTTCAGTATTTTATCTGCCAAGTTGGCATAGAGAGAAATCAGCAATGGGAACAAGCAACACATGCCAAGCCATGACTTTGAAAGCCAGAGGCCAGTGGCTGACCTGACCTACATGGCCACAACTGCTTCCTTTCCACATTTCAGGATCGCTCCTGCATTGCTGTTGCAGCTCAGTGAACCTAACTGCTGTTACTATTAGTGAGCCTCCAACTCATTTACCTTGTTCTACAATAATTTGCCTCCTGCCTTTTCTTCACATTATTCTTTCCTCTTTGCTTTTTGACACAGCACACAGACATTTGCTCCCAGAAAAAGGGGCTTTGGGGATTTTTTTAGTCCTGGAAAATCTGTAAGTTTGGACTGCAGCAGGCTGACTGGTATATGGCACCAAGCCAGACCCTTGCTCATCCCAGTGTGCAAGGCCCCGGGAACCCCTCAGCAAGGCTTGGAGCTCCGCCTGCACCTCTCTCTCCAGTGCCCACACAGAGTGGACCCTGCTCTTACTGCCTCTGCAGCCTCTGGACACAGAGCAGTGCAGACGTCACGTGGCTATGTTTTATTCATGAGGAACGGCATGTAAGCAGTGCACAGTGAGGAAGAACTCTGTCTCACAGTGCAGTTTTTTCATCCACACCCACACGGTGGTGACAATCTCAGCACTTATGTCCTTTCTGATTAAGAGTTAACATGACCTATCCTGGCTTTTGCACAGTCCCACTCATGCAAATAGGACAGTCTGCAGGTAGGACTCATGGCGTAGAAAGGACAGAGGTCCCTTCCAGTGATATGGGTCTAGATTTTTAACTTTGGAGAGTGAGAGGAAAAATGCTTGAGTAAGCAGAAACTTTATTCTTCTATCAGAGTTAGAATTCCGGCATAGCCCTCAGCTGACCTTGACCTTGAACTTGACATGCTTATCTATAGCCTGGATTTAAATCAATGTTGA